CTGTAGAAAGATCTGTGTTATTTGCCCTTTTTTGCATGTTCAGCTTGTCAGATAAAAAGTGGCAGGATAACACAAAGATTCATTTTCTTCTTTGTATTTTGATTTTATTTAAGGATTATTATTATTATTATTTTTACTCCACTGCTGAAGACCACTGGCAGAGCGGAGGGAAAAATGAAACTTTTCTTCTATAAAGCCAGTGATATGTACTTCATAAGCACTGTTAGATTGCAGACTATTTGATATTTTAATATAAAAGGAAATTCAAAACTGGTGTATTTTATTTCTGTTGGAAAGATATTGAGTATAGTGTATTAACAAGGGTAAATGTTGATGTGACCTTTTTTCCCCCCGTTTTTAGTAAAATAAATAAAAGTACATTGAGCACAGCAAGTTTTTGTTTTATTAAAAGGTCTGCTTGAAGTCAAATATCTTAAATATGCTTATGTGGGGTGGTTTTACAGGTGTGAATTGTTGGATAGAAGAAAAAGACACTGTAATCTATGCATAGGTGTACAAACGGATATAGCATGACATATGGAAAGCATATACAAAGCCAGGTACCGTATGGCCACATGCTCAAGCAATGCTACATTACATACACAGCTTTATCACAAAGCTATCAAACTTTTTCAGCATGATTATGCTTCTGTGTGAGGTCCAAACAGAAATGATTTACTGAAAGATCTGGACCGGCCTGCACAAAACCTGGACCTGAACCCGACTACACACCTTTGGGATGAATTAAAGAAGCGAGTCCGATCCCATCATTCAATGGCAGAGCTTGACTCCACCGATGGGAGCAAGTCCCTACACTGTAAAAAATCAGAAGTTGAGCAAACTTAAAATTTTAAGGCAACCAGCTTCAGCAGATTTTTGAGTTTACTCAACTTAAAGGTCAATTAGTTGTACAAACTTTTGTGCATGTTTAATCAACATAATATATTAAGTCAAGCGAACTTTTAGTTAAACTTCCGATTTTGTGTTTAGTTGACTAGAAATATGGAGTTTTTATCATTTAGAAATTTAAGTTTACAAAACTTGATAGTTGAAGTCGCTGTAAAAAATCTAAAGTTGACAAAAATTAAAGGTTTAAGGCAACCAGCTTCAGCAGATTTTTGAGTTTTCTCAACTTTTGATTTTTTACAGTGCAGCTTCAGGACTTAAGATTTACTCAACATGAGTTTTAAGTTCAGCACAGAACTGTCAATCCAATATGAGTGAATGAATTTATTAAATGCTACTCAGTACAACAACATTGGTCCTAAAAAAAAAAAAAATCTTTAAATGGACAGAACCACAACCTTTTTATTGCATCAATATGATTTCTTTGTAGAACCACAAAAAAAAACCTTACCCTGTGATCACATTCATTGACGGACCAAACGGGCACCGCCTGAGCCAACTCGAAGTCCACGTCTGTACAAAACCACATATTTTGAAAAATAAAAATAAAAATAAAATTTTACCGTAATTTATTATACAAAGAATAGCACCTACCGGAGCAATTATGTTAACGTTAAGTTAAACTCACTTGAAGCCACCTACGTTGTAAAGAAGTGCATATTGTGAACAAATTTCATTCAAATCATATCTTAAATTGATACACAAAGAACCACCACTTACCTGAGTGATAACAATGATGGACTAACGTTACCGCCTGAGGCAACTCTAAACCGAAAGAAAATACGGTGTACAAAAGCACATATTTTGAACAAACATAATTCAAGTCTTATGGTAAATATTATATATAGAACAGCACCTACTGGAGCGATTACACTGTCGGTCAGAAAAAAAATTGGCGCCGTCTGACCTGCGGCAACTCATAAGACCAGGCGGGAAAATTGAACTGACTAACTTGCCACCACCTATGTTGTACAGAAGCGCATATTGTGAACAAATTTAATTTAAATCATATCGTGAATTCATACACATAGAACGACACTTACCGGAGCGATCACAATGATGGAATAAACGGGCGCCGCTTGAAGCAACTCGAAAATTAAGTGGGAGAAATGAAAATGGCGTTGTATATAAAAAAGTGATCGAACTGTGCATGCTCATCAGCCTTTGTGGGCAATACTAATAACAAACAAAGCTGTTAGTTGTTCCAACTTTAAATATTAATTTGGTCAAACAAATTGGTCTAAATTTCTATTTTACTTACTTTTCTGTGTTATCTCAACTTTTTTAATGTTAAATAGTTGAATAAACTTTAAAAACTGAGTTTGTAATACAAAATGTAAGTTGGATTTTTTACAGTGTATACATCCATGATCCAATGTCTCATTAAATGCTCAGTAACCACATTTGGTGTTGGTGTATTTTAGTAAAAAGGATTTCATTAGTTCAAATAATTATCAAATAGGTAGCACTTAAACTTTTGCTTTAAACACACAGGGGCTAGTTGTCACATGGGGAAGTTGTCACAAGGACTGTATCTAAAAAGGGTTTTTAAATCAATAGTTCACTTACACAAATGTGTGTTTCCTCTAGCAGTGGTTGTGTATGCTGCTTTCAAACATCCAGATCTAAACCTTCTTGAATTAGAATCATGTTTGTCAGTCATTTAGTCCATTAAACTAAAATTACAATATATATCATATTTTGTTTAGGGTATGGGGTAACAAGTGAACACAATAATACCATACTTAATGGTCTACTATATAATGAAGACGAGGATAAGGATATACAGTATATATTTTGTCATATAAATGTCAGTTTGGGGAGAGGTGTCACATGTGTTTATGATGATACAGTATATTCTATGTATAATTTTGCTGCCCTTACAAAATAGGTATTCTTGAAGTTAATTTTTTATGAAATAAACTTAAGTTCAAGTATATTTTCCAAGTATACTTGATGTAGTAAGTATGCTAATTTCAATGTACAGTACTAGTAGCATACTTAAGTGTACTATTTCAATACTTGGGACATTTAGGGCCTTACAATACTTACAGCTAGCCAGTGTAGAGCTGATAAAGGAAAGGAGAGGACGTGACGAGTGGTGTCCCATACTCAGAATTTGTGCTCTGCATTTCACCCATACAAGTGCGCGCACACACACACACACCGTAAACACCAGTGCCTTGGTCAAGGCCCAGGGTCTCACCTCGGTCATGGTATTGAGGGTGGAAGAGAGCGCTGGACATACACTCCCCCACCTACAATCCCTGCCGGTACCAAGACTCAAACCCACAACCTTTGGGTTACAAGTCCAACTCTCTAACCATTAGGCCAGGCCAGGCCTGCCCCCTAAAACTGAATACTCAGAATTTGTGCTCTGCATTTCACCCATACAAGTGCGCACACACACACACCGTAAACACCAGTGCCTTGCTCAAGGCCCAGGGTCTCACCTCGGTCATGGTATTGAGGGTGGAAGAGAGCGCTGGACATACACTCCCCCACCTACAATCCCTGCCGGTACCAAGACTCAAACCCACAACCTTTGGGTTACAAGTCCAACTCTCTAACCATTAGGCCAGGCCAGGCCTGCCCCCTAAAACTGAGGTGATGTGATCATAGTAGGATCTAGTAGGAACTCCAGCAGCTGCATTTTGATCTGTAGCTTGTTTATTGAAGATGCAGGATAACCACATAGTAGTGCATTACAATAATGTTTCTAAAGGCCAATTCACACCACGCCGACAAACGGCAACAGTCATGTTCGTCGGGTTTTGTCAGACAGGTGTGTATCTCTGTTGGTGTCTGTTGACTTGTTTTCAACGATTGAACGTGTTGAATCTGTGTTTGTGGGTCTTGGACCGTCTGAGAAGTGACATAGCCTACTGTATTCTGTCGGCTGTCTGTGTTGGTCTGAGTCTGTCGGTGCGCGGTGTGAATTGGCCTTAAGATGCAAGAAGGCTGTTTTTATAACATGTGGAATGTGATTTTTTTCATTCATTAAATAAACTGACATTAATTAACATGTATGACTGACATTTTTGATAACAGAAACGAGACATGACAAGACAGAAAAAACGTGGTAAAATACCACAATGAAATGTTGCTCAGTTAGGCTATTATTCAGTTTTTAGTTAGCCTAGTTCTTGTATGTTATGATCACATTTTTAATGTTGTAGAGTTCATTTTCAGCAATATTCCGTGTAAAGTCAATGCAACATGTTGTAAGAGTTGTACAAATTGTGTTTGAAATACGAGTTGTGTTTGAATTTTACGCATGAATTAAGTAAACTCATGAATTTTACTCTTAGTGTAGGCTATATGTTTTATATGTTGTTGAATATGTTTGTTTGTTGTTTGATTATAAAGTGTTAATAAACAATACATATATGTGTGTGTGTGTGTGCGCGCGCGCGTTTTTGTGATCTATGAGGACACAAATTTATATAATGACATAGGTATTACAACGAGAAGGTGGTTTATGAGGACATTTTGAGTGTCCCCGTATTTCAAAAGGCTTATAAATCATTCAGAATGAGTTTTTTTGAAAATCTAAAAATGCAGAAAGTTTCATGTAAGGGGTAGGGTTAGGTGTAGGGTTGGTGTAGTAGGGCAATAGAAAATACGGTTTGTACAGTATAAAACCATTACGCCTATGGAATGTCCCCACAATTCACAAAAACAAGCCTGTGTGTGTGTCTGTGTTTTTTATAATTTCTAATTAAGATACACATTCTCTTTTTTTTTATAATCAAAGATGATTATAAAGATAATCAAAAGATTTTATAATCAAAGATGATCATATACTCCAGCCTGGAGTATATGATCTCAAAATGTGTATTGGTATATATCTTGCAAATAACATTATATGAACTAAAAGAGGGGGGAAAGTCAACAAAGTCGATGAAGAAAAGAAACACATCTGGGAAAGGCAGTTTACCTGAATTCACCCTATAATTTTAATTATACCTCTTTTTAGTTACTTTTTAGAAGTATACAAATAGCACAACTGAATAAATGTGTTTTTGTAAAGGTTGTTTTGTTTTATAATTCTTTGCTTACATTTTGTGAGGCTGTTTACTGGTAGGTTCAGGCAGCTTATTTCTAATAGCAAAAGTTGGCATGTGCTAGTTGAAAATGTTACAATGTTTACAAGAGACAGACAGACAGACAGACAGCGGCGCTCACGTGCTCTCAGTCTAGCACGTGCCGCTCAGTAAACGACACGATCTCAACAAACAGTAGCGCGTGCCTGACCCTTGTGACCTTGCGACGACCTCGGTCAAGCGTGGGCCAGGGGTTCGTCGCCCCAGACAGACCACATTCCTGTCTGGAGTGTGCTATAAATAGCTCGGGGTGAAGATGGGTGACACACACCTTCCTCAAACCGGACATGATGCAGTCCTCCTCTCTGACCGAGCGCGAGAAGAGCATCCCCGCAGCTGACGGCTGTTTCCTGATGTGGCGGGACTACATGGACCTCCGCAGGACCCTGTCGCAGCTGCTGGAGCATCGCGACGGAGCACAAGCCGCAGATGTCAGCGAGACGCCCGCGGAGGGTTTCGTGAGAGCCGGCTCCAGCAGCAGCGTCTCCAGCACCTCCGCCTCCTCCAGCCGCGACCTGCGGACCCCGCGGGACTCCTGTGGATTCTGCCGACAAAACGGAGAGACGCCGGTGGTGTACATGAGTCACAGACTGAAAGCCCGAGACGGACGGATCCTCTGCCCGATCCTGAGGAGCTACGTGTGTCCGTTCTGCTCCGCCACCGGAGACTGGGCGCACACCCGCCACTACTGTCCGCGGAGAAACACACCGGAGACCGGCGACGCGTGAATCAATGGACTCTGTCAACACTGTACGTCTGTGTTTCGACGTTTGTTGTGAAAATGTGTTCAAAAAAGTTGTTTACATGTTAAAAACGTGGTTGAAACGTGTTTTTATGGTTCATTTCAAAATAAAAATATTTTTCTAGTGCATCAAAAACAGGTTTTGTTATTTGAATTGTATTTAAATCCGTTCCTCGTTGATATGATTTGGCATTTAGTTGACAGTCATATAATAATATTTGTCCAAATCAATACTTAATCCAAATTTAATGCATTAATGAAAAACAACAAAATCAACCCCTGCTGAATTGTACAATTTTAGGTTTACAAATGTTACACATTTAACAGGCTTCAGTTTAACATCTGATGTGAATAAACAGGTTACTTTACAATTTGTGCATCAGTTTAAGAAAAGAATTGTCTCTTGATTCCATCTGTCAATTTAACATGTTAAGGAAAACTTTTCAGGTATTTGACTTCTTTGATTTTTAAAACATGCTAAAATATTTTGAAAGTTAAACTGATATTAAAGAAGGAAATTTTACTCTCTGAAGTAATATTATTATTATTATTTTATTTTTATGAGAATAATTTGGCCATGCTGATTGCACTAAGCACCGTAGGTGGTGCTATAAACCAACGGTATGTTATGCGCCATACAAACTAGTGAAGAAGAAGAGCATGCGGTGGTGCGGGAAACATGAACACGGTAAATGTTTGTACTTGTGTGTGTCATTGAACGTTAAATATTTATATATTCAGCAGATACCGGGACAGTTGATGGTTTTAGAAGCTGCTATCGAATCGTGTCGAAGTTACTTTGATAGATACGATGTGGTGGTGGTTGGTTTTCAGGTAGTTTACAGATCCTTTATCAGACAAATGTCAAATATAAACAATTTCTCAACATTACTGAGCAATTGGTAATTCGTTTGTTTTTTAGTTCTCTTTACTTCGTAATTAACTCCACATTTATAGATATGTAAAAGAAAGATACTAAAGACATCATACGTAATGTAACGTAATGAAATAATTACAGATCCCCCAGACAAGCTTGCAAAGTTTAAAATCATGTACAGTAATTCTTGTGCAAAGATATCTGAAACTTGTGTGTGTGTGTGTGTGTGTGTGTGTGTGTGTGTGTGTGTGTGTGTGTGTTTAGTTTCCTGGTGCATTATGGGCTCATCTCTGCTTTCTGTTGCTGAGCAGCTTTTGAAAGACCTTCAGAGAACTTACTCGGAGACAAACCAGAGTAGGTTTAAAACTCACACACTCACTGATGTCTTGGCAGCTGGATGAAGTCATTGGGGGATGAAACATTAAGTAACATTTGCAGCTGAAAAGCAGAAAAACTACTAGACATCCTGCAGTTATCTCATCAGTCTTCACAGACAAACTCACACTGTACAATGGGCTCCAGAAATCTCTGATCACTAGTGAAAATGTGCATATATTGTGAAAATTATATTAGTACTATTTAATGCCAATTGTACTAACTAGAACTAATTTTTTTTTTGTTTTTAATGTTAGAGATGTTTAGTTTCAATAATGTCAAGCATGAATTTGGATAGTAGGGTTAGTGGTCTGATGCTGATATATGTATATTGCGCTTAAGTAGAAGCAAGAACATTTTGACCTAAAACATCATAACCTTTTTTTGTTTTAATTTCTGAAACTTGTTTATTTCTGGGTTTAAGATTTGGCAGCGGCTATTTTGCACTAAGTGTAAATAGCGATAGAGGCTATTTACACTAAATTAAAATAGCAATAGATTCTATTTACACTGTTAAAATAGCTGGATTTTCTGCTATTTATACTACTTATTGCAAAAAGTGACAATTCCCTGCACCTCAGTATTGTAGTACATTATAAAACAGTATGCGATAATAACGTATTTAGTGCAAATTATAACTTATTAACTTGTATAACTTCAAATTATTAAATGAATGCCACCTTTATTGGGACAATAAAGCCGTCCCTACACCTACCCTAACCCTACTCGATAATTTATTTTCAACGTTTTGATTATTTCCTTCATTTTTATTGAAAATAAATGGCTTTCCGATGTGATATGAGATTTGAAAAGGGAGGGGAAAAGTTCGGCAAAAGGCGGATTTGAACTCGGGTCGATCGCGTCAAAAACACGACGGTGCACGCTTTACCATCTACGCCACTGGAGCTGACCTTTTACAGCTGTCTTCTGTAGTGTTGACTAGGCCAATCTCAAATTGGTGGGCGAAGTTAGTGTAAATAGCCTCTGCCGACAAGGCACTTAATGACACTCCGTAAAGATTTTCAATGTGTTCTGCTGTTCTCGGGCATTTGGACCCCATGTGTCTCATACAAACATTTGAACAACAGATATTTAGTGATTAACAGTTTCATTGATTCTCAGGTAAATTTCAGAGTAGATAGTAACTCTGTACAGAATCAACATTTTACCCCATTAACAAACCCATCCCAAACTAGTCCCCAACTATGCTTTAAAGGTCACAGCTTGGCTATAATTAAATACAATCAAAACATCATTCAGTATATAATAATGAGAAAACTAAAATACCCATTCTTATATCACATTTACAATCACAATCAGCATATTTCTTTAACACAGCTATTACTTTCCCATTTCCAAACAGGTTAAGTACTTGGACCATTTTTTATAGGTTTAAGTTAGCTTGTTCGTCTGCTTATAAGGCACTTTTTTTCTTCAAATGCAGCCACTCTAGCTTAAACAACAGACATTTGATCAACATTTAAAATAAAATTAGGCTTAATAGTAAAAACTGCATGTGTGGAAGTGAACTGTAAAGTCAGTGACATTTTGAAAGTAGAAATAGCTGCAATTTCTATTACCGACACCGGATGGTGCACTTATACCAGTTTCACTCCACTGCTGCAGTTTTTGATTGCTTAAACAGACAGCGCGTCCTGTGGAGTGGTGTTCAAGTTTCTTATGGTCCATGGTGTTGAGGTTTCCTTTTGCATAGGCTTCAAAGTATGGAGATTTATGTTCATATTTTTCCTACAACATCATGTTCCTCGGAGCCTATTTCTTAATGAGATGTTCAGTAGACCAAAGCCTTGTATCAAATAATTGTGTTAAAATGTCAATATATTAATTGAGTTATTGTGAAATCCTTATGTGTGCAGACAAAACTTAATGCAGAACATCTGGATAAGAGTAATGACATTATTCTGTTGGAATTTTGATGTCAAACAACGCCAGAGAGAAATATCAAAGGAGTGATGATGGCTGTAGTGTTGAGATTGAGATGTCGTTTCAATTTGTGCTTGTTTGGGTCTTTCTCCAGAGAACCATGGTGACCACAATAAACAACCGAAATAGGCTGTTTTGCATGACTGATTATTGGTTATTGGTATTATGTTTAACATGCATTTAACTTAGTTTTCCCAGATGTTATGTTTCATGTACTCAAATATGTTACTTGTGTGCATTAAAAACATGCTTTGTGCTTTTATATTTTTCAGTTTTATAAAACACTATTAACTAATATTATTTCTTTTTCTCTTTCTTATAGTACCAGATGACCTACTAATAGCGTAAGTATTTTCCCCCATTTCCTCCTCCTTAAGTTAGATTTACCAAACTGTGAGATCTGGCCTTGAACTACAGACTTAAATATTTTGGATGCTCTTGACCTGAAGTTGGGGAGGGTCAATTATTGCAGATGTGTGTATTATTGCCACTGAACACTGTACAGAAACCAGCGCTTGCCTCTTAACTGCCAGATGTACTCAACACAGGCTTTATCAAGCACATATGTATGTCTTTACCCAGCGCTCTCTTTCTAGACGTCATTGACTGAATAAATCATGGTGTTAAAAGCGTCCTCAAACCCACAATGACAGTCATCAGGCTGCCATTGAGGGAAGCACTAAGCCACAGTAATTACTCTACTTTGGGAATCAAATTCCTCCATAAACAGCTGTTCACATCACAAGTCAGCACTTTTTGCTTTATTGGGCAATTGATTGTGGTTTCAGTGTCATCATCGCGTCATGTGTTCGCTTAGGTCTGCTTCTCTCTGAGACATTATTTGAATGTGGCGGGATGACTTTCAGATGATGCAGTTCCATACTTCCACTTTAGAATGTATTGCTATAGGCTTGATGTCAAGACCAGATTGGCTCACAAGTGACATTGTTTTTGAGTTTTATATTAAGACAGGAAACAGCACTTGCTTTGGGTTAAAAGTGAGAGCTGAGGTTTATTGCCCCTCAGCTTCCTGTGTACATGTCACTGTCTTATCTCACCTAACATGGTTTCCTGTACCTACAGTTAAAGAATGAAACCAAAAATGAAACCTTGCCGAAAGTGTGCTCATTCTCAGGCCATCAAAATGCTGTTGGTTTCTTCATCAGAACAAATTTGGATAAATTCAGCATTACATCACTTGCTCACCAATGGATCCTCTGCAGTGAATGGGTGCCGTCAGAATGAGAGTCCAAACAGCTGATATACCATAAGTAATCCATACGACTCCAGTCCATTAATGAATGTTTTGTGAAGTAAAAAGTTGTTTGTTTGTAATAAACAAATCCATCATTAAGATGTTTTTAACTTCAAACCATCCTCTATCCATATAATATTGCTTTCTACAGTGAAAAGGATGACTCGTCTGAATCAGGAGAGAAATACGCACACAAGTGAAAACAGTCCTAAACAAATATGTTGGTGGATTTTGATGTAAGAGGACAGCAGGGGATGGACTTTTACTCTGGTGGAAGCGTTTGAATTAATTATGGACTGGGATTTTGGCCAGAAGCATTGGTGAAATGCCTTAATGATGAATTTGTTTCTTACGGATATGCAGCCTTTTAATTCACAAGATGTTAATTGATGGACTGGAGTTGTTGATTATTGGATAGTGATGTTTATCAGCTGTTTGTACTCTCATTCCGACGGCACCCATTCACTGCAGAGGGTCCATTGCTGAGCAAGTGATTTCGAGCTTTCGACTTTCTCCAAATCTGTTCTGATGAAGAAACATCTACATCTTGGATGTCCTGAGGGTGAGTTAAGTTTTAGCAAGTTTTAATTTTTGGAAGAAATTTTCCTCTAACTCTCATTTTATTCTATATTACAGATTACGGTTTGTGTTTGGCCAATGTGCTCTTCAGGCG